CATATAAGGTACGGAATTTGTAACATGCTTTTTGATTCCGTATATAAGTACGGAATTTATAACATACTGAAAAGGTATGTTTTTGATTCCGTGTATAAGGCACGGAATAGTTACGGAATTGCAACATACTAATAGCTAATTTTGACCATATTACGGATCGTCAAAGGTTTTTTTTTACGTAAAAAAAAAATGTCAGAAAACCAACAAAATGTTAAGAAAATATGGAATTTCGGAGCTGGTCCTGCCATGATTCCACAAAAAGTTTTAGAGAAGGTTCAATTGGAATTATTAAATTATAATAATACAGGAATGTCCGTTATGGAAATATCCCATAGATCAAAAGAATTTGAAGACTTATTAAATACAGCAAAAAATAATTTAATCAAATTATTGAATATACCAAATAATTATAGAGTGTTGTTTATGCAAGGTGGTGGCCATACACAATTTTCTGCTATAGTTTATAATTTATTGGCTGCTAAGAGTCAAAATGTGTCACAATCAAGTGTTGACGAGGGAGAAAAAGAAGCATTTAATCCACCATTAGATTACATAATAACTGGTTCTTGGTCAGCCAAAGCTTTTGAAGAGGCTAAAAGATTATATAATAATGTTAATGTAGTGATTGATGCTAAAAAATTTAATGGATCTTATGGATCTATTCCATCAAAAGAACATTGGAAACTTAGTGGTTCAAAGGCTGCTTATGTCTATTATTGTGATAACGAGACTGTCAATGGTGTTGAATTCAATCATGTTCCTGAAGTGGATCCCGAGGTTCCATTAGTATGTGACATGTCTTCAAATATTCTATCTCGTAAAATTGATGTTTCAAAATTTGGGTTAATTTATGCTGGTTCTCAAAAAAATATTGGCCCTGCGGGTGTAACTATTGTGATAGTTCGTGAAGATCTTTTGACTAAACCCAAATCAATAACAACACAAGATACCACCAACGTTCCCATTGTACCAACTATGCTTGATTATAAAACAATGGCTGATAATAATTCTTTGTATAACACACCACCTGTTTTTGCTATTTATGTAGCAAATTATGTATTTGAATGGTTATTAGAAAATGGTGGGATTGATTCCATTGAAAAAGAAAATGCTGTCAAATCATCAAAACTTTACAACATGATAACAAATTCAAAAATTTATCAGTCTCCTGTTGAGAAATCAGTTAGGTCAAGAATGAATATACCATTTCGTATTGATCCACCTGAATTAGAAAATTTTTTTTTGGATGGTGCAGCTCAATTGGGGATGGTTCAATTGAAAGGTCATCGTAGTGTTGGTGGTATTAGAGCAAGTATTTATAATGCAATGCCTTTACAGGGTGTAGAAATATTAATTGAATATATGATTGATTTTGAAAAAAAGAATTCTAAATAAATATTTCATCATCATCACTATTATACTGATCATAGCTTACAACTTTTAAAAAATACTTGTTATAATTAAATTAAATTAAATTAAAAATTTTTTTTTATTCTTTTCCTCATCATTGCAATTATTCATTCACCAATCTTTAACAAAACATAGTATAACTTGGAATTATTCACCTACATAGATTTAATTAACGTATATTTGTATGTATATACTTAGTAATTAAATTGCTCACCTCTTATTTTTCTTCAATAATAATTTTGCACCATTTATTTTTTTCAGTTATTGGTAATAAGGATCATTTTAAGATCTTTTTAATGTAATCAGTTTCTTTCTTGACAATATTTTCTAATAAATTATCAGTATCAGTTATGAATTTGTAATACATCAACAAGTTGTAAACCAGCCTATATATATTAAAAATTTAGTAAAAATAATTCCTTTGAATAATCATAAAAGATAATTGATTACCTTTTTTTTTAACTTTTGTACAAAATTCACATTTTCACATGCCAATTTTTCCTCTTGTAAATCTTGATACACTTTAGAATCTTCTAATTTGACCACTTAAAGATCTTCACCAACCAATTTTATACTATCAACCACAATCTCTTTGGCTTTTGGCAATGCATTTTTAACTTTCACTACATCTTTTCTAAGTTTTGCACCTAAAACTTTCCAATCTGCATCTACTTTATATTGATTCCATATTTATCTTCTTCAGACATTACAAGAAGATTTTTATATTCAATTCCTAATTATGTTATTTTTTAATCAAATATTGAATCATTAATGACAATTTTTTATCCAATTTTTAAAAATATTGAGTATTTGAGTGTACAACAATAAGTTCTTTTGATGATGTCTAATTAATCAGATAAAAGAAAATAATAATAACAATAATTAGCATAATTTTTCTTAAAATATTTTCTTTGGGAAAAGTCAAGAATAATAACATTAATAACCTTTAGACTTATATTCTCTTTTTCATGAATGATTCCACCCAATTCAATTCCTGAATCAAAATATTCATTTCTAACCTAGTAATAGTAATGCAGAAAAAAATCTATAGCTAATTATGGCTTCATAGAAAGTCATCATTACTGCTGCTGCTGCTGCTGCCACCAGCCAGACTATTGCAAGTTCAAATCAATTAAGAGCCAATGAGTTATGAATTAATTTAAACCAAGAAAATCAAAAAAATTTGAAACAATTAGTCTAACTGTTGACAAACCTAACTGATAGAAAAAGTAGAAAAATAGTTAGCATACTGTTTGGCTATAATAGATAGATATACTAAATTAGCTTCAACTGACTTTTTAAAAAAAGCTAGATCAATATCTTAAATAGTTGTGTTTTGAATTTCTATAGCATATTTAGAAATGTGTCATGCGCATGATTTCTTTTCAAATCGTGCAATGTCAGAACCCCCGCAACTATATAGATAGGTTACTGCCGCAGCTGGGACCTAAAATTTTACTATATATGGGAGCTTTTCTAGCAAAAAAGGGTTTCGACCTCATATGACCAAAAAAAATTTTTTTTACATAATATTGATCTATAACATAAAGATTATAATTGGCAAAAATATTAGACCCTGTTTGCTTAATAAAAAAAATGGAGAATTGTAGGCCGGATACCTTTTTAAAGTAATTTGCACGCGATCTACATACCCCATTTTTTATTGTTACACGCAATAATTTAATTAAAAAATAAAATGTACGTTTATTATAAAATAAATTAATGAATGTTATAAAAATACATATTGAAATAATAATAAATGAATAACAAATTAAATTTAATAAGTACTAGGTTCTGGACAAAGAATATCTTTAAATGGGTCTTGTACATGCTGGCGAATTTTTGTATACAAATATATTTTTCTTTCTTCTGTTAATGGAGCAGCCTCAAAAATATTTAATTGACCATCTTTATTAAAATTATCATTCTTTAGAAGTTCAAAAGGAGTTTCCAGGCCACCAGAATTTTTGGCAACATAAACTTTTCCAATATTATCTTTACTAAAATGAAAATGATGGTATTTTGTTATATTTGGTAAATTTCTAAAACTATTTTTAAATAGTGAACTAAAGTCATGCCATCTCCAACCCATGCCACCTTTATATCTAATAGATTCATTATTATGTTTTGTTGTTGAATCATTTATAGCTTCTTCAACATGATCAACAGTATTAATGCATCTATTTCTATAAACTTTTTTGATTGATCCAAAAAATCCATCACAGACAAATTTAGTGTGCCCAGGAATCATAAAATTTATATATATATTTTCATACCAACCCAACATTATTAACCACGACCAAAACCAGAGTGATAGGTTATTCTTATTTTGACCTGAACAATTATCACATGTCACATATAAATTTTTTTCACCATTATGATGAATCTTTTGGAGAAAATCAAAAACCATATTTAAAGTTGTATTAGCTCCTTTTGATGTTCCTTCTGGCAATTCATCTTCTCCTATAGTATAGTTTAGTTGATAATCTTCACCCTCATCATTTTTAGTACATATACCAAAAATATTTATTTTAAAAGGAGTTTTAAAATAAATTGAACCAACTTGTTGAGGTGAATATGGTGCAGAAACACTTTGAGCATAATCATAGCAAATGTGAGTTGATGTTGAATCATTTTTGCATTTTTCAATAGTTTTATTATAATGTTGTCTTTCATGATCTGCTGCTGTAAGATGTTCTTCATAATCAAATTTTATTTCAACATTTGCATCATTACTTGATATTACCAATTTTAATCTAAAAATTTCACAAGTCTCACACAGATCATTTGAAGCATTTAAAAATTTAATATTTGGTGTTAATTGATTCCAAAGTCTCCAAAAAGTTATATACTGTATATCTTGCATAGATGTACCAGCAAAATTATCCTCAAAACATTTTTTGTACTCATTAAAAACTGATCTATAATTATGCTGAGTTTCTAGATAAATAATTGGGTCTGAATTATCATGAAGTCTCATTGGAGATGGCAATCCATGTAATTCAGCATAATTTAATATATAATTTTTCACCCTTTCCACTACTTCTAAATCAACAAATGCTTGTGATTTAAGTTTAGGAATATTTTTCATATTACCATGTTGACGATCTTATAAACCATTTGTTAATAAATGTTTTTGCAATCAGTTAACACACTTTTTTTAATATCACAGTTTTAAAAACACAGGTTTACAAATTTGTATTTTTTCATTATATTTATATCTATAGTTATGTCTAATATTTTCATTGTCAAATTGAAAAACCATCAATTGTGTTTTAACAGAAAGTTCTTTTTCTTTTTTATCTAAGCTTTTAAATTCAAAATGTCTCTCAAAAAAGTTTTTAAAGCCTATTTTTTCAAAGCAACTATGTGGATCATTTGTTGTTTTCACACATTTGCAAGAACTTTGGAAAAATAATTTTAAATCATCAATTACACCAATTACTAAATCATTTTTTTCATAATCTTCAAATTCTTCAAATTCTAATAAATTATATTCTGGTATTGAATTAATTAAAGACATGTTTTTAATAATATTTTGAAGCAATTTTTGATAATTAAATAGAATATTGATTATAAAAATTTTATTTGACTTATAAAACTTATTAAAAGCTTTTTACTTTCAAAACAAAATCACTACATTATTTATAAAAAATTATTTTATAATAAAATAATATTGCCTGGTATTATAACTTTGACAATCACCAAGTTTAAAAATAGTATCAAATTTTAGGCGGCAATTTTCCTTTTTTGTGTAACAATTTTAATTTGCGATTTACCTAAAAAAAATCTATTTTTATGGAAGACCGTTTTTGCTAGAAAAGGTCCCATATTATGTTTGTAGTAAAATATCTTGATAGAATTTTTGAACTTATGTGCGTTGAATGCTCTTGCCTATTTTGCAGTTCTCAAAAAAAAAAAAAAATGGATGATGAGATAAAGCTATGGTGAGAAACTAACGATGGAATGTATATGGTACATGAAAGCGTCAATACTGACAAAGACCAGTTTGGGTCTTGTGTCATGATTTGTACTAAAAAAAGGATACAAATAGATTGTGTTGCAATTATCTCATCTCCAAGATTGCCAAATATTTGGCTTATTTTACACTTTGAGAAATCATCAAACTAAATAAGTTTGATTTCTTCCAAATGACTCATGCCTTATGAAGAAAGGATCTGGCGAATGGTCAGGGCAATGTAATTAATGTAATTTTTTCTTCTAGCAGGTTTTCAGGTTTAGCGAATGAAACAATATAAATAAGCTGGATTTGTGCGGCATCATTTCTCATCTTCATGAAGTTTTTTTATAAGGTAATGTGTCTGGCTTGCTGGTGTTCATTATCTATGAAAGCAAAATTTTACTCACTATGGGCCAACGATATTACTACCAATTGTCTTGTTATTCTTAATGGCCCACATAATCAACTTTCAATCAGTAGTTTTGTACTCACAATTACGATTTCCAGAGATGCAATGGTTTATGATCTCCAAACTGCAAGTTGACATCTCCATTTAATAATATTCCTCTTAATATCTGTCAAATTTATCATCCTGGAAGTGTAGATGAAAGACGTATGTGATCACTGGCTCCAATCTCTAATTTTTTCAATAAGGATCCTCCCAGAAATGTATATCACATTATTGCATACTTCCTACATGAACCAGAGAATGAATAATTAGATTTTTATTTATTTTATATTCACATCATGTAATAGTGATATATTTTTTACATCCTTCTGGGGTTATTTTTTTATTTTTATGTCTTTACTTCAGTAAAGTTTTTATTTCGTAAAATAAACAAGGTCTATGTAACCATTTATATTCATTCGTGTTTTTATCTGAGATTAATCGGGGAAAATTGAAGCCATTTATTCATATTAATATAGATATGTCAAATATGTCTCGCAAATCTAAAAATAACAGACGCAAAACTCAAGGAA